TTTTCTCTAGTTTAAAGCTGCTCTGTGTAACTTTTCTGCTAGAGGCTCCGTCAGATGCTTTTCTTCATGGAGATGTTATTGCTTTTTTGTGTGGAATGTCGTCAGGCCCGAGAGACAGTTCCCTCTGAAAGTGCGCTGCCGAACCGACCTGCACAAGATCCACGTGCTCCCGGTGAGTCACATGTGTGTCACCTGCCCTCCTGTGTGTGTCAGGTCCCTCCTCCCCGTGTGTGTCAGGTCCCTCCTCCCCGTGTTTGTGTTTTGGGCTCTTTTAAAAACACTGCCAGGATTGAGAAAACATGTTTAATATAAAACAGTATTTTCATTTATCACAGAAAAAAAGTCATTTAGCCAAAAATTTGAATAAGCATGTTTTAATTTAATCTACTGGATTTTTTAAAAAACATTGGCAAAATTGAGAAAACATGTTCTGTAAAACCTTTGGTAAAACATAGAACAGCGTTTTCATCTGAAAATCATCAGTTGTCGACTAAAACCTCGGCTCCTGCAAGAACAGCTGCAAACACAGAACCTGAAACTCAAAGAGCAAACAACTGAATCTGTAAGAGCTGAACACCAGGACGTCTGAACGTAACGGACGCCTGGACGTAACGGACGCCTGGACGTAACGGACGCCTGGACGTCGCCTGAACGTAACGGACGCCTGAACGTAACGGACGCCTGTTCATTTGTGCACAGACCGGAGCTCCTCCATAAGACTGGACAGGAGTGGAAGTCCCAGACTGTTCCTCGTGTTATTGTGTTATTACGTATTGTGTTGATTGGTTTTAAAAAAGAAAAAAACACCCAAACTTGTTGTTGCCCAAATATGATCTGCCCTATACTTCCCCTCCTTGCTCGATGTAGTCAAAAAACAAAAAAAAACAAAACACGGCCTCCCTCATGTGTCAGATGCCCTCCCCGTAAAAGCTGCTGCTGTAGTTTAAACTTCTCCAGACATGTTCTGAAATGGGATTTTGAATGAGATTAAAGTTCAGATTTCGGTGCTTCTTTAAATTTTCTCTTTGAAATCACAAAGTTATAGTATAAAATTGTGTCTTATTAGTTCAGTTGTTTTTAAAGTTTGAGTTTTGTTTTTGACCCTCTCTGTTTCCCGTGACAGTCGACGCCCCTCAGCGCCGTCGTGGAGCAGCTGTCCGTCAAACTGGGAGTCCCGCCCCCTCGGCTGCTGCTGCTGCGAGAGGAGGCGGAGCTCAGTGCGGACGCTACGGTGGGCGCGCTCGGGCTCGGCATCGCAGACATCCTGGGTAAGACCCGCCCCCTGCTGGTCTGAAAACGAACGACAACCCCAGTCGGAGTTTGATTAGTTTGATCAGTTTGATCAGTCGATCACTGCAGTTGTGAGACGAGTGGTGGTGACGGATCTGACTGCGTGTGTGTCTGTGTGTGTGTCTGTGTGTGTGTGTGTGTGTGTGTGTGTGTGTGTGTGTGTGTGTGTGTGTGTGTCTGCGTGTGTGTCTGTGTGTGTGTCTGTTGCAGAGTGTGTGGTGATGGCGGAGGCGGAGAGGGACACGCCCACTGGAGGAGACGTGGATGATGTCATCAAAGTGCGACTCCAGGGCAAAGACCGCACCATGTGTCAGGAGTTTTCTGTGCGCCGGGTCGGTACTTCCTGTTTATATGTTTGTATGTTTATATGTTTGTATGTTTATATGTTTAAATGTTTATATGTTTAAATGTTTATATGTTTGTATGTTTATATGTTTGTATGTCTGTGATCTGATGTAAACAGTAGAGTCCTGATCCGATCACGTGACTGTGACTCGATCTGGACTCAGATGTTATGTTCTGATCAGGTGTCAGAGAAATAATGTACATATAAAACACACAGGACACAACAGTTGTTTCTTTTTTACTGAGGTGTGGGATTTGTTCAGGGACGTCCCGTCAGCGCGTCTGTCCCAGCGCCTGTTGTACTAGAGACACACTCGCGCTGGGACTTTTGGGTCATGTCGTGCTCTGGCGCCGCAGTTACCTGTGGTTCTGTGGTTCTGTGGTTCTGTGGTTCTGTGGTTCTGTGGTTCTGTGGTTCTGTGGTTCTGTGGTTCTGTGGTTCTGTGGTTCGTGTTCACACCTGCGCGGCCGATGGCTTCGTCGCACGCTGCTGTTTGTTTTCATGTTGCGCAGTGGAGCGGGCGCTTTTAGGTGAAGAGGGTGGGTCCAGTGGTGCCCGCTCCCCTCTGCAACGAGCGCTCCCGTCTGCGGCGGGCGCTCCCGTCTGCGGCGGGCGCTCCCGTCTGCGGCGGGCGCTCCCGTCTGCGGCGGGCGCTCCCGTCTGCGGCGGGCGCTCCCGTCTGCGGTGAGCTCGGTGGGTTTGTGGATGTGGGGCGGCCGGGGGAGAGAGGCTGTGGGGCTCATGTCCGTGGTCCTGATCGGGGATGAGCACAGATGTAACAAGTCCAGTCTTAAACTCTAATCTTACTCCAGGTGAATATTGTATTTAAGCGCCGTATTTTCCGGGTTATTAGCCACGCTCTTAAGCCTCTAACCGCATCAAAAAAAGACCGCACGCCACAATCCAGAGCTCCCCATACACGAATCCACTCAGGTGTCCCAGTACGACTTCAGTAAACTACAAACACACAAACACACACGGAGCAGACAGCGACCGCACAGAGAAACACACCCACACACACACTCATCACTCCACGCCGACGAGGAACGGAGGAACAAACCGAAAAAGCCACGAGTGCAACGTGCCGCTTCTAAACACGACTGAACAACTGAGTCACTGTGAACACGCCGACAATCCAGCGACAGACACTACTCCCTACACGCCACAACTGAACACACCCAGAGTCACCGTGAACAAACTAACAAAACCACTCACACATCACACTGTTGGGTTTCATCTAAAGTCCCACCAGGTTTATTTGAGAAAAAAGTTAGAAAATAAACCATTTAATGACAGAGCTTCTTATAATCCAGAGAGATTAATAGTGCGGAAAATACGGTAATACAGACTGTATGAATGACATTATAAATATCACATTATTATTATTAACATGTGCCCCCAGACGTACAGAACGACCTGTGGGGCTGAGCAAAGAGACTTATGACAAATAAATATCATCTCATTTTTATTTGGTAATGTTTTGTATTATTTGGATCATAGATGAGCCTAAATGTTTCAAACATAATGTACATACAAACATATATTATCAAATATACAAAGTGTAGATTGTGCAGAGTCGAGTCTCTGGTCTGATCTGGTTCTGGTTCTGGTTCTGGTTCTGGTTCCTGTTGTGTTCAGTTCATTAAATTTAATAAGTTACACATTCCAAGACCAAACTGAAAAGTCAAGATTTTCAACAATGATGGTTCATGGTTAGAAAAGTGAATAAAATTAAAGTTTTGGACATTTGATTTTTCACACTAAGTTCATTCAAATACGACACATGAAATCAACACAATCTGATCCTCACACATCCTTAGTTCAGTTCATAATGTTTTATAGAAGTATCGGATCGGGACTCGGTATCGATACTCAAAATCAAATGACTCCGACTCGGGGGTAAAAAAAAAATGTGATGGGGACATCTCTAGTAAACGGTAATAATAATAAAGAGTTACTCAAACATGTGAATGGAACAAAACACAAGTCTAACATGGCTCTAAAAGCATTTGTCGTGTTTTTGTCGTGTCTTTGTCGTGTTTTTGTTGTCGTGTTTTTGTCGTGTCTTTGTCGCGTTTTTGTCGTGTCTTTGTCCTGTTTTTGTCGCGTCTTTGTCGTGTTTTTGTCGTGTTTTTGTCGCGTTTTTGTTGCGTTTTTGTTGCGTTTTTGTTGTCGTGTTTTTGTCGTGTTTTTGTTGCGTTTTTGTTGTCGTGTTTTTGTCGTGTTTTTGACGCGTTTTTGACGCGTTTTTGTCGTGTTTTTGTCGTGTTTTTGTTGTCGTGTTTTTGTCGTGTCTTTGTCCTGTTTTTGTCGCGTTTTTGTCGCGTTTTTGTTGTCGTGTTTTTGTTGCGTTTTTGTTGTCGTGTTTTTGTCGTGTTTTTGTTGCGTTTTTGTTGTCGTGTTTTTGTCGTGTTTTTGTCGCGTTTTTGTTGTCGTGTTTTTGTCGTGTTTTTGTCGTGTTTTTGACGCGTTTTTGTCGCGTTTTTGTCGCGTTTTTGTTGTCGTGTTTTTGTCGCGTTTTTGTCGTGTTTTTGTCGCGTTTTTGTTGTCGTGTTTTTGTCGTGTTTTTGTTGCGTTTTTTGTGTGTTTTTGTCGTGTCTTTGTTGTGTTTTTGTCACATTTTTGTTGTCGTGTTTTTGTCGCGTCTTTGTCGTGTTTTTGTCATGTCTTTTTTGTGTTTTTGTCGCGTTTTTGTTGTCGGCGTCTTTGTCGTGTCTGTCATGTCTTTGTCGCGTTTTTGTCGTGTCTTTTGTGTTTTTGTCGTGTCTTTGTTGTGTCTTTGTGTCTTTGTCGCGTTTTTGTCGTGTCTTTTGTGTTTTTGTCGTGTCTTTGTTGTGTCTTTGTCGCGTTTTTGTCGTGTCTTTTGTGTTTTTGTCGTGTTTTTGTTGTGTTTTTGTCGTGTTTTTGTTGTGTCTTTGTCATGTTTTTGTCGTGTCTTTGTCGTGTTTTTGTCGCGTTTTTGGCGTGTTTTTGTCTCGTTTTTGTCGTGTCTGTCATGTCTTTGTCGCGTTTTTGTCGTGTCTTTTGTGTTTTTGTCGTGTTTTTGTTGTGTTTTTGTCGTTGCTTTTGTGTTTTTGTCGTGTTTTTTTGTTGTTTTTGTCGTTGCTTTTGTGTTTTTGTTGTGTCTGTCATGTTTTTGTCATGTCTTTGTCGTGTCTTTGTCGTGTTTTTGTCGCGTTTTTGTCGTGTTTTTGTCGTGTCTTTGTCGTGTCTTTGTCGTGTTTTTGTCGTGTTTTTGTCGTGTCTTTGTCGTGTTTTTGTCTTGTCTTTGTCTCGTTTTTGTCGTGTTTTTGTCATGTTTTTGTCGTGTTTTTGTCGTGTTTTTGTTGTGTCTTTGTCTCGTTTTTGTCTTGTCTTTGTCGTGTTTTTGTCGTGTTTTTGTTGTGTCTTTGTCTCGTTTTTGTCGTGTCTTTGTCGTGTCTTTGTCGTGTTTTTGTCGTGTTTTTGTCGCGTTTTTGTTGTCTTTGTCATGTCTTTGTTGTGTTTTTGTCGTATTTTTGTCATGTTTTTGTCTCGTTTTTGTCCTGTTTTTGTTGTCTTTGTCGTGTTTTTGTCGTGTCTTTGTCGTGTCTTTGTCGTGTTTTTGTAGTGTCTTTGTCGTGTCTTTGTCGTGTTTTTGTCGTGTTTTTGTCTTGTTTTTGTCGTGTTTTTGTCGTGTTGTTGTAGTGTCTTTGTCGTGTTTTTGTCTTGTTTTTGTCGTGTTTTTGTAGTGTCTTTGTCGTGTTTTTGTCGTGTTTTTGTCGTGTTTTTTTAGTGTCTTTGTCGTTTTTTGTCTTGTTTTTGTCGTGTTTTTGTCGTATTTTTGTCATGTTTTTGTCTCGTTTTTGTCCTGTTTTTGTCGTGTCTTTGTCGTGTCTTTGTCGTGTCTTTGTCGTGTTTTTGTCGTGTTTTTGTAGTGTCTTTGTCGTGTTTTTGTCGTGTTTTTGTAGTGTCTTTGTCGTGTTTTTGTCTTGTTTTTGTAGTGTCTTTGTCGTGTTTGTCGTGTTTTTGTCGTGTTTTTGTCGTGTCTTTGTCGTGTCTTTGTCGTGTCTTTGTCGTGTCTTTGTCGTGTTTTTGTCGTGTTTTTGTCGTGTCTTTGTCGTGTCTTTGTCTCGTTTTTGTCGTGTCTTTGTCGTGTTTTTGTCGTGTTTTTGTCGTGTTTTTGTCGTGTCTTTGTCTCGTTTTTGTCGTGTCTTTGTCGTGTCTTTGTCGTGTCTTTGTCGTGTCTTTGTCGTGTTTTGTCGTGTTTTGTCGTGTCTTTGTCGTGTTTTTGTCGTGTCTTTGTCTCGTTTTTGTCGTGTTTTTGTCGTGTCTTTGTCTTGTTTTTGTTGTATTTTTGTCGTGTTTTTGTCGCGTTTTTGTCCTGTCTTTGTCTCGTTTTTGTCGTGTTTTTGCTATATTTTTGTCGTGTTTTTGTCGTGTCTTTGTCGTGTCTTTGTCGTGTCTTTGTCGTGTTCTTGTCTTGTTTTTGTCGTGTTTTTGTCGTGTCTTTGTCGTGTCTTTGTCGTGTCTTTGTCGTGTCTTTGTCGTGTTTTTGTCGTGTCTTTGTCTCGTTTTTGTCGTGTCTTTGTCTCGTTTTTGTCGTGTCTTTGTCTCGTTTTTGTCGTGTCTTTGTCTTGTTTTGTCGTGTTTTTGTCTTGTTTTTGTCGTGTCTTTGTCGTGTTTTTGTCGTGTTTTTGTTGTGTTTTTGTCGCGTTTTTGTCGTGTCTTTGTCTCGTTTTTGTCGTGTTTTTGTCGTGTCTTTGTCTTGTTTTTGTCGTGTCTTTGTCGTGTTTTTGTCACGACTTTGTCGTGTTTTTGTCGTGTGTTTGTCACGACTTTGTCGTGTTTTTGTCGTGTTTGTCGGACTTGAAACAGTTGTGTTGTTGTTGTGTCTCTGCAGGACGCTCCTCTGGGTTCTGTTTTCGCTCAGTTTTCTTCGGGCTTGGCCGTCGTCGCTCAGAGGAAAGTGAGTTTTCATTTCGACGGCTGTAGATTATCTTCGCTCCAGACGCCGCAGGAGCTGGACATGGAGGACGGGGACGTGATCGAGGTCTGGACCTGAGCACCGCTTTTCTATTTAAGTCAACAATAAAAGGTTTAATTTCACCGCAGAGTCGTGTGTTTTATACGTGTGAGGGGGACAGAATAATGTGAACAATAATAATAATAATAATAATAATAATGATGATGATGATGATGATGATGATGACGATGACGATGACGACGATGACGATGACGATGATGATGATGATGATGCATTAGACTGATTCAGGGCTTTTCCAGATGCTAAAGTTTGTTCTGTTCTTCTTTCACTCTGATGCTGAGCTGCTCCTGTAGCCTCGGCTCGTCTCACTCGTCACTCGTCACTCGTCAGTGTTGGAGAAGTGTCTTGCTTAAGGACACAGGGACAGTTTGCCACAGATGTTCTCCTGTGGCACTGGGGCCTGGTCCTGCTGAGATCCGACCACTTTGATCTGAACATTTTCATTATGTATTTAAATCCCACCAAACCAAAAACAGACTAAAAGAAAGTCTTATTTTCTTTTTAACCTGACTCTTGGTCCTGGAGCTGGGCCTCTTCCTGCTTGTTTCCATGGAAATGTTGTTCTTTGGCTGTAATATTCCAAAATATGGCATAAACCAAATCCATGTCTGTGAAGAATGTTCTGAAGTATGGTTTTAACTTTCTGTTTCCATGGAAATGCAGGTGACAAGCTCCAGAAAGTTACGCACTGTGCCTTTTAATAACAGTTTAAATACCTGGGACTGAAGTTGGAGCGGACATTGACATTTAAGAAACACATTAAGCGCCAAACAAAAACTGTTCATTTTAACTTAGTGAATTTTAGACAAGTAAGACCTTTTATGACTTTATATGCGGCACGAATGTTTTTACTCCATGATTCTGTCCCATATAGACGACAAGTATAATTGGCTTGATTTTAATAATTTTATTGGTTTTAAATATGGATGTTTTGTCTATAAAGTTTTGCATGGACTTGCCCCTCCTCCATTACAGGATTTTATTAAAGTAAAGACTGTGAGTGGAACTAGGACCACAGTTCAGGGGAACTGTGACGTCCACACAGACGCTCCACACTCAGACAAACTGTGTCTCAGTCAGAGGAACAACATTTTGGAACAGTCTGCCACTGTCAGTAAGAGAAACTTCAACTCTTGCCACCTTCAAGTCCTACTTAAAAGAGCGGCTAAAGAAAAACCAGACTTGTGGACACTTTTAGTTTAGATTTGTTACTTGTTTTTGCTTTGTTTAAATTTGTGGTGTTTCCTGCCGACGGACGACAGATGGAAATGAGCAGTGTTGCTATAATCTGGCATATTTACACTGCAATGTTGTAGATGTTCATTAATATGCACTGTCCCTATTAAATAAATAAATAAATAAATGTGATGGAGCCTTTTTAAAACAGTTCAAATGTGTTGGACCCTTTAAATGGTTCAAATGTAATGGACCCTTTTAAAAAACGGTCCAAATGTGATGGACCCTTTTATGAACACACTGCAGAAGAAACACTCTGCTCAGCACCAATTTAAAGGCGGATTTTTAATTAAATCTAAAATAATCCGGTGTAATCCTTTTATTTTCGTCACGTGACCGGCGCGTGAGGAGCACGTGAGCGCACGCGGAAGTGCAGACCGATCATGGCGCCGCACAAATGTTTGTTTGGGAAAGTTTAGCCTCTGAAAACCTCCGAAAGCTTCACTTTTCCCAAGTCCACCGCGCCTCCCGCACCCCGCTCTCCATCCACACGGCCCGGCATGGATCTGCACTGAGGCCCCGGGCTCTGAGGCGCTCCTGAAGCCGAGGAGAGGCTGCGGAAGGCGGACACCGAGCGGACAGAGCGGCCCTGAGTCACCCGCACCCGGTAAACAACAACTAGCATTAGCATTAGCATCCGCCGATCACGGGGTTTATCTCCATCTGTTTTAGTTTAGTTTATTATAGGTCTATGGGTTCAACTGCTTTTATTTTAATATATTTTATTTTATTATAGGTCTATGGGTTCAACTGCTTTTATTTTAATATATTTTATTTTATTATAGGTCTATGGGTTCAACTGCTTTTATTTAATATTTTATTTTATTTTTTTATTATAGGTTCTATGGGTTCAACTGCTTTTATTTTTTATATATATTTTTTATTTTATTATAGTTCTATGGGTTCATATCTGCTTTTATTTTAATATATTTTTATTTTATTATAGTTTCTGTGGGATCACCTGCTTTTACATTTTTATTTTATTTTATTATAGTTTCTATGGGTTCATCTGCTTTTATTTTATTTTATTTTATTTTATTATAGTTCTGCGGGTTCATTTACTTTCATTTTATTTTATTTTTATTATAGTTCTATGGGTTCACCTGCTTTTATTTCACTGAAGTTCATTTACTGCACTTTTCCACCGTCATTATTCAAGTTTATATTCCTGTTTATATTCTTAATAGTTTAATTCTTTTCCAAATCTTGTGTCAAAGAGGCGTTTTTCTGCGTAAGGGTACAAAAAAAAAAGAAATAATAATAATGATGATATTAAGAAGTATTAATGAACCAATAATTTGAGTAAAATGAAAATAAATAAATACATAAATATAAAATAAATACATAAATAGTCATAATAATAATTTAAAAAAAAAAATCTTATTTATTATTTTACGTTGTTGTTTTTGTCGATTAAAAGCTTAAGTGCATTTTTGACAAACACGAATAAGCGTCTATGTTCACATTTACATTCATTCCAAAGTCCGATTCTAATCTGATTTCTGGACCTTTAACATGATTTAAATCAAATGTAAAACACAAAATCTGACGTGACGTGAAACGAGATGATTTGGTGTTTAGTTGTCGTTTTATAATAATCTTAAATCTGGTTTTAATCCAGTTATTATCTGATTTAGATTACGGGAAACTGCCGCCTTTGTTGTGAACAAAAGGAACAGGAAACAGTTTTAAACCTTGTGGAGTTTCTTTTGTGAAACTCAATCAACCAGAGAACAAATATTTAACACTTAATCATTCCACGAATAAAGACGCAGTTACAGGAGTTTATTTACACCCTGGTGTTTTACTGCTTCTGTAAACTCTCATGTCCTTGACTTTTATAAGGACTAGACTCGATACCTCGATACTCCATATTCGATACTCGATACTGATTCTGATCCCACAATGATAAGAAAATAAAACTCTCGTTCTTTAGACAATTTACTGTGATTTTCTCTTCCCATGTTCCTTAAATCTGTCTAAACCAGGACTAAACCAGGACTAAACCAGGACTAAACCAGGACTAAACAGGACTAAACCAGGTCTAAACCAGGACTAAACCAGGTAAACCAGGACTAAACCAGGATCTAAACCAGGACTAAACCAGGTCTAAACCAGGTCTACTAACCAGGACTAAACCAGGACTAAACCAGGACTAAACCAGGACTAAACCAGATCTAAATCTAAACCAGGACTAAACCAGGAAACCAGATCTAAACCAGGACTAAACCAGGTCTAAACCAGACTAAACCAGGACTAAACCAGACTAAACCAGGACTAAACCAGGAAACCAGGACTAAACCAGACTCTAAACCAGGACTAAACCAGGTCTAAACCAGGTCTAAACCAGGACTAAACCAGGTCTAAAACCAGGACTAAACCAGGACTAAACCAGGACTAAACCAGATCTAAACCAGGACTAAACCAGGTCTAAACCAGGTCTAAACCAGGTCTAAAACCAGGACTCTAAACCAGGACTAAACCATCTAAACCAGGACTAAACCAGGACTAAACCAGGTCTAAACCAGGTCTAAACCAGGTCTAAACCAGGACTAAACCAGGACTAAACCAGGTCTAAACCAGGTCTAAACCAGGTCTAAACCAGGACTAAACCAGGACTAAACCAGGTCTAAACCAGATCTAAACCAGGACTAAACCAGGTCTAAACCAGGTCTAAACCAGGACTAAACCAGGTCTAAACCAGGACTAAACCAGGACTAAACCAGGATCTAAACCAGGACTAAACCAGGACTAAACCAGGTCTAAACCAGGTCTAAACCAGTCTAAACCAGGACTAAACCAGGACTAAACCAGATCTAAACCAGGACTAACCAGTCTAAACCAGGTCTAAACAGGACTAAACCAGGACTAAACCAGGACTAAACCAGGTCTAAACCAGGTCTAAACCAGGACTAAACCAGGACTAAAACCAGGTCTAAACCAGGACTAAAACCAGATCTAAACCAGGACTAAACCAGGTCTAAACCAGGTCTAAACCAGGACTAAACCAGGTCTAAACCAGGTCTAAACCAGGACTAAACCAGGACTAAACCAGACTAAACCAGGTCTAAACCAGGAAACCAGGAAACCAGGACTAAACCAGGTCTAAACCAGTCTAAACCAGGACTAAAACAGGACTAAACCAGGTCTAAACCAGATAAACCAGGACTAAACCAGGACTAAAACCAGGTCTAACCACTAAACCAGGACTAAACCAGGACTAAACCAGATCTAAACCAGGACTAAACCAGGTCTAAACCAGGTCTAAACCAGGACTAAACCAGGACTAAACCAGGACTAAACCAGGACTAAACCAGGTCTAAACCAGGACTAAAACCAAACAGGACTAAAGGACTAAACCAGGACTAAACCAGACTAAACCAGGATCTAAACCAGGACTAAACCAGGTCTAAACCAGGCCTAAACCAGATAAACCAGGAAACCAGGTCTAAACCAGGACTAAACCAGGACTAAACCAGACTAACCAGGTCTGACCAGATAAACCAGGACTAAACCAGGACTAAACCAGATCTAAACCAGGACTAAACCAGATCTAACCAGACTAAACCAATCTAAACCAGGACTAAACCAGGGTTAACCAGGACTAAACCAGGACTAAACCAGACTAAACCAGGTCTAACCAGGACTAAACCAGATCTAACCAGATCTAAACCAGGACTAAACCAGGACTAAACCAGGACTAAACCAGACTAAACCAGGACTAAACCAGGACTAAACCAGACTAAACCAGGACTTAAACCTAACCAGGACTAAACCAGGAGGTCTAAACCAGGACTAAACCATAAACCGAGGACTAAACCAGACTAAACCAGGACTAAACCAGGGGACTAAACCAGATCTAACCAGGACTAAACCAGGATAAACCAGGACTAAGGACTAAACCAGATCTAACCAGGACTAACCAGGTCTAAACCAGGACTAAACCAGATACACCAGATCTAAACCAGGACTAAACAGGTCTAAACCAGGGACTAAAACCAGGGACTAAACCAGATCTAAACAGCTAAACCAGGTCTAAACCAGGACTAAACCAGATTAAAAACCAGGACTAAACCAGGACTAAACCAGGTCTAACCATCTAAACCAGGATAAACCAGGACTAAAACCGGACTAACCAGGAAAAACCACCAGGACTAAAAGGACTAAACCAGACTAAACCAGGACAAGGAAACCAACTAAACCAGACTAAACGCAGGACTAAACCAGGATAAAACAGGACTAAATCAGGAAAACCAGACTAAACCAGATTATATAAAAGGACAGGACTGAAACCAGGTCTAAACCAGATCTAAACCAGGACTAAACTAGGTCAAAACCAGGCTAAACCAGGACTAAACAGGACTAAACCAGGACTAAACCAGGACTAACCAGATCTAAACCAGGACAACGCAACTAAACCAGGACTAAAACCCAGACTAACCAGGTCTAAACCAGACTAAGACCAGAAAAGGACTTAAACCAGGTCAAACAGGTCTAAACAGGTAAACCAGATCTAACCAGGACAAAACAGGTCTAACCAGGATACAACAGGACTAACCAGACTAAACCAGGACTAAACCAGATCTAAACCAGGACTAAACCAGATCTAAACAGACTAACCAGTCTAACAGGACGAACGACTAAACGGAACTATCACCAAGGACTAAACAGCTAAACCAGGACTAAACCAGGTCTAAACCGGACTAAACAGACAACCAGGGACTAAACCAGTCTAACCAGGAACTAAACCAGTCTAAACCAGATCTAACCAGGACTAAACCAGGTCTGAAACCAGGACTAACCAGGACTAAACCAGGACTAAACCAGGACTAACCAGACCTAAACCAGGACTAAACCAGATCTAAACAGGACTAAACCAGATCTAAACCAGGACTAAACCAGGTAAACCAGGACTAAACCAGGACTAAACCGGACTAAACCAGGACTAAACCAGGGTCTAAACCAGATCTAAACCAGGTCTAAAACAGGACAGACTAAACCAGGACTAAACCAGGACTAAACCAGACAAACCAGTAACCAGACTAAACCAGATCTAAACCAGGTCTAAACCAGGTCTAAACCAGGACTAAACCAGGACTAAACCAGGACTAAACCAGTCTAAACCAGGACTAAACCAGACTAACCAGGACTAAACCAGACTAAACCAGGACTAAACCAGGACTAAACCAGGCTAAACCAGGACTAAACCAGGATCTAAACCAGGACTAAACCAGGTCTAAACCAGATCTAAACCAGGACTAAACCAGACTAAACCAGATCTAAACCAGGACTAAACCAGGTCTAAACCAGACTAAACCAGACAAACACCACTAAACCAGGACTAAACCAGGACTAAACCAGGACTAAACCAGACTAAACCAGATCTAAACCAGGACTAAACCAGGACTAAACCAGATCTAAACCAGGACTAAACCAGGACTAAACCAGGACTAAACCAGACTAAACCAGGACTACAAGGACTAACCAGATCTAAACCAGGACTAAACCAGGTCTAAAACCAGGACTAAACCAGGACTAACCAAACCAGACTAAACCAGGCTAACCAGGACTAAACCAGGGACTAAACCAGAAACCAGGACTAAACCAGATCTAAACCAGGACTAAACCAGGACTAAACTAAACCAGCTAACCAGGACTAAACCAGGTCTAAACCAGACTAAACCAGGACTAAAACCAGACTAAACCAGGTCTAAACAGACTAAACCAGGACTAAACCAGACTAAACCAGGACTTAAACCAGATCTAAACCCAGGACTAAACCAGGTCTAAACCAGGACTAAACCAGGACTAAACCAGGACTAAACCAGGACTAAACCAATCTAAACCAGACTTAAACCAGACTAAACCAGGTCTAAACCAGACTAAACCAGGTCTAAACCAGGTCTAAACCACTAAACCAGGACTAAACCAGGACTAAACCAGAGAACCTAAACCAGGACTAACCAGACTAAACCAGGTCTAACCAAACACTAAACCACTGGGACTAAACCAGGACTAAACCAGACTAAACCAGAACCAGGACTAACCAGGACTAAACCAGGACTAACTAAACAGTCTAAACCAGGACTACACCAGGACTAAACCAGGACTAAACCAGGACTAAACCAGACAAACCAGATCTAAACCAGGACTAAACCAGGACTAAAACCAGGTCTAAACCAGGACTAAACCAGGTCTAAACCAGGTCCTTGTGTGTTCTAGTCTCTGTGTCTTGTACTTGTTCCAGTTTGTTTCAAACACATTCAGGTTTTGTTCTGTTCTGTCAGTTGGACTTTTTTTTAGAATCGATCCTTATCATAAAATAGGATTTAGTTTCGATACTGGTTTCTGTATCGATTTGCGTCCGATTTCCGGTTTCATATTTTTGCGGTTGTGCAGGGGAACTCGTTGTGCTGGATTGTTGTTTCACTTCTCGAGGCGTTTCCTGTCGAATCCTAAAGGTCCACGTCTTTATCTGTTTGGACCAGGTCAAAGGTCACCAGGATTATTCAATCAATAAAAGATTTATCTCACGAAAATCTGACTCCTGTGAACTTCAGGCCAAGTTCTAATGTTCTCGACGAGGAGCAGAGACCAGTTTCTGTCCTAGTGTTCGATATTTTTGACAACCACAGAATGAACAAGTCCATGTGAATCTGTGTCGTTCATTTGTTTTTCAAAATAAAACCAAAAATAAGAAAATGAAAAAAACTACGATTTTCTTCATTATTTGTCTCCAAAACCAAAATGAAAAAACAGATGATAATTCGTTTTTTTAGTTTTGGATTTTATGCTTAAATGAAAAATGGAAAAAACTGATAACGGACTGAACCAGAACTAAACCAGGACTAAACCAGAACTAAACCAGGACTAAACCAGGACTAACCAGAACTAAACCAGGACTAAACCAGGACTAAACCAGGACTAAACCAGGACTAAACCAGATCTAAACCAGGACTAAACCAGATCTAAACCAGGACTAAACCAGGTCTAAACCAGGACTAAACCAGATCTAAACCAGGACTAAACCAGGACTAAACCAGGACTAAACCAGGACTGAACCAGAACTAAACCAGGACTAAGCCAGGACTGAACCAGAACTAAACCAGGACTAAATCAGGACTGAACCAGAACTAAACCAGGACTAAACCAGGAACTAAACCAGGACTGAACCAGAACTAAACCAGGACTAAGCCAGGACTGAACCAGAACTAAACCAGGACTAAGCCAGGACTGAACCAGAACTAAACCAGGACTAAACCAGGACTAAACCAGGACTAAACCAGGACTAAACCAGGACTGAACCAGGACTAAACCAGGACTGAACCAGGACTAAACCAGGACTGAACCAGGACTGAACCAGGACTAAACCAGGACTAAACCAGGACTGAACCAGGACTAAACTGTTTTCACTCCTGGTCTGGTCCGGCTCTCGTCCCGGTCTCAGTCCCGGTCTGGTCCCAGTGTCAGTCCTGGTTTTAGTCCCGGTCTGGTCCCGGTCTAGTTTCAGTCTCAGTCCTGGTCTCAGTCCCAGTTTGATCCCAGTTTGGTCCCAGTCTCAGTCCCCGTCTCAATCATGGTCGGTTCCTGGCCTTGTTTCAGTCTCAGTCCTGGTCTCAGTCCCGGTCTCAGTCCCGGTCTGGTCCCAGTCTCAGTCCTGGTCTCAGTCCTGGTCTCAGTCCCGGTCTGGTCCCAGTCTCAGTCCTGGTCTCAGTCCTGGTCTCAGTCCTGGTCTCAGTCCTGGTCTCAGTCCCGGTCTCAGTCCCGGTCTCAGTCCTGGTCTCAGTCCTGGTCTCAGTCCCGGTCTGGTCCTGGTCTCAGTCCCGGTCTCAGTCCTGGTCTGATTCCAGTTTGGTCCCGGACCTGGTTTAGTCCTGGTTCAGCCCATTATCCTTTTTTTTTTTTTTCCATTTTTCATTTAAACACAAAATCAAAAACTGAAAAAACGAATCATTTTCCATTTTTTTCATTTTTCAACAAATAATGAACAAAATCTTTTTTTTTTTTTTCGTTTTCTTATTTTTGATTTTATTTTGAAAAACAAATGAATGAACGACACAGATTCATGTGTTTACTCACTCTGGACACATTTGTTTATCTGATTTTCTGATCACAATTTTAAAGTTTAACACAATTTTTGGCAATTGAACCTCAAACCACCAGGATTTAAAACACCACAAACACCTTGATCACTCAAACAGACCTGGAGTTTTTGTTTAGTTTCATTCACATGTTTGAGTGACTCTTTTTTATTAATCTGTCTACGTCTACAAAGATTCTAATTCAAAGATGTTAAATTCTAGACATAAACACTTTAAATGAGTCGAACATGAGAGGAGTTTGTCCAGTAAAGAAAACACAGCCAGACTTTTATCAAACAAATCTGTGATCAAATGTTTCAGGGAAAACTCTGGTAAATAGTTTGCAGCTTTTTTTAAACATTTATTGCCTAAGTTTAAGATTTTCTGACGTGTTGAGTCATGGAAGAAAAATGTGTGACAGTTTTTAAGATTAAACAACCAAATCAGAACGAGTGAGAAGAAAATAAATCTGAAAACAGGATGAAAACCCTGATGGAAGTTTTAAACTCTCTCCTCTCGTGTCTGTCCCCCGCAGGCTCAGTCATGGCGGCGGAGCGGGCGTCAGACTCGGCGCCGTTTCTCTCGGACGACAGCGAATCGGAGGCGCAGGACGAGACGAGGGCGGAGCCTCAGGGCGAGTCTCTGAGCGGCGTGTCGTCACGGCGATCGTTCATCACCGTCCTCATCCTCTGCTACATCAACCTCCTCAACTACATGGACCGGTTCACCGTGGCAGGTACTGGCCGAGACCGGGACTAGACCGGGACTAGACCGGGGTTTAGATCGGGGTTTAGACCGGGGTTTAGATCGGGGGGCCAAGACCGGGGTTTAGATCGGGGCAAGACCGGGGCAAGACCGGGGCCAAGACCGGGGTTTAGACCGGGGCAAGACCGGGGTTTAGACCGGGGTTTAGACCGGGGTTTAGATCGGGGTTTAGACCGGGTTAGACCGGGGTTATCGGGGACCGGGGTTTAGATCGGGTTTAGACCGGGGGTTTAGACCTAGACCGGGCAAGACCGGGGTTTAGACCGGGGCAAGACCGGGGGCAAGACCGGGGTTAGACCGGGGCAAGACCGGGGCAAGACCGGGGCAAGACCGGGGTTTAGACCGGGGCCAAGACCGGGGTTTAGACCGGGGCCAAGACCGGGGGCAAGACCGGGGTTTAGACCGGGGTTTAGACCGGGGTTAGACTGGGATTAGACTGGACTTAGACCGGGGTTTAGACTGGTTTAGACCGGGGCTAGACTAGGATACGACCAGGGTAATACTGGGGTTAGACCAGGTTGGACCCACACAGACCAAACCAGACCAAACCAGACCAAACCAGACCAAACCAGACCAAACCAGACCAACACAGACCAAACCAGACCCACACAGACCAAACCAGACCCACACAGACCCACACAGACCAAACCAGACCCACACAGCCAGACCACCAAACCAGACCAAACCAGACCAAACCAGACCAACACAGACCAAACCAGACCAACACAGACCAAACCAGACCCACACAGACCCACACAGACCAAACCAGACCAAACA